ATTTAATTGATCGGAAATCTATGTGCTGAATCTAGTAGATTGAACATATTTCTTCATCTTACTTTAAAGTACCTATCTTTATTCGGAGTGCTAATTGCATATACCTAGAACCCCAGGTTTTTGAGAAGCTTAATGAGAGCTGTAACAGTTTGCAGTTGTTTATTTCTTAATGGGTGTAGTATGTTTTTGGCTTGTAGGTTCACTATGTTGCTAAATGGAAAGGCATCACTTTTATGACTAGCAGACAAGGGATGGGCGTTGGCGGTGGAACGGTAAGACTCGATCAACTAGTGAGTTTTACATGTCTTTTAATACTTAGTTTAAAGGAAAGGGGTTTTGTCCTATGCAACGATCATCTAACTAAAAATTTAAAGGGGTTTGGTGTTTGCCTGAATGATTTCTAGAACTAAAGCAAAAGCTTCCCTTTTTTTTCTTCCCCGCTTGGTAAGAAGGTTAGTCTTTGCATCTTATGTATCATCTAGAACAACATTGCTATTGTTGATCTCTCACAACGTACATTTGTTGCTCTAAGGGATCATCAATTCAGTCAAACCACTGCAAATGATCAGTAATTGAATACCTTTTGGATTATATCCTCTGCCTACAAATTAAGATGTGCATCATTTTTCCACCAGACTCACACTGTTATTAATCTTGTAAGTATTGGATTCAGTACAGTTCTTATCTTCTTAACTGGTGCAGCCTTATGGATTTGATGTTGGTCAATCTGAAAGGGGAACAGTCCTGAAGGGATTGGATCTAGGTGTTCAAGGCATGCGTGTAGGAGGCCAGGTGAGACAATTTTCACAAACAATTTCTGAATTTTCTTGAAAATCTACGTTGTCAGCAAAGCTAAGAGAAAAACCATCTATTCTCCCTTTCAAACCGAATGAAGCTTGACATGTCATCTTTTTGAATCATATCAAAGGGGGTATTAAATACAAGGATTACAGTTTCTCCAACATTATGGTCTTCAGTGACTGACTTAGAGCTATTCACTCTGAAACATTTTGATTTCTAAACATTAAGTTCGAAGAGCATCTTTATTTTGATTTATGAATATATGTTGTATAATCCATAATTTATTTGCAGCGTCTGCTAATAGTTCCTCCTGAACTGGCTTATGGAAGTAAGGGAGTCCAGGAAATTCCTCCGAATGCCACAATAGAGGTAACATTGGGTTCTTTTAAGTCATGTAAAAATAACACAAAGTAAAATGCACTAACCATCCATATTTGAATCTAAGATCCTTCAAATGTTGAGAAATGTCCCTTCAGAAAGAAAGCTAATGATTACAATCCTTGCTAGATGATGGAGTAATATTTTCTTCTTTTTTTTGTTTTTTTTGGTAAATGGGGAATCATTGGGGAAGGGGGGTATTTTTCAAGCAATTGATGGGAGTCGAACTCTTGATCAACTGAACCCAAGTACTAAAGCTTGGAGGTGAATTATTTTGGGCTGGTTCAAAGTAATATTATATTACTCAAACAAATTCTTATTCTGCTGTTATTCTTTCCATTTTTCTGTTAACTTCACTTCCTCATCGACTGCAAGTTTTTAATCAGTCTCAGTAGTAATTTTAAATTGTGCCATATTTTTCGACCCACTTCTTCTTCATTGTCATTTGCCTCCTCTACAGGTTTATAATTTTATTTCTTGCTTAATCTGCAGTTGGATGTTGAACTATTGGCCATCAAGGAAAGCCCATTTGGGTAAGCAATGGATACCTAGAAGCATATCAATGAACTTTCCCAGGCAAAATTTTCAGAACCCTCTGTTTCAGTTAAGACTACTTAATGATTTCTTTGTGCTGTAGGTCTCCTGTTAAGGTTGTTGAAGGTTAAAGCAAGTGGGCAATCCTAATGCTAGTCTCGTTGGCTCACTGAAGTGAATGAAATAAAGCATTGGAGCTGAACAACTTGGGGTGAAAATAGACCACCATTATTGTTTTCCAACGGACGTAAAGATGCTTCTTTTATTGGACTTGAAACATAGAACTTAACCGACATAAATAGATTGTAATTCCGAATCATTAGAACAACCAGAAACCGTCTGTGTCTTCAGATTCTTCGCAAGCTCACATAGCCTGAACAATTGGAATTAGTAAAAGAAATCAAAATGACGTCCATAAAGATTCTCAAACTAATAACCGAAAATAGATATGATTCAAACCTTCTTTTGAGTTTTAATGGTATCAGATTCCCTTCCGTATCGCAATCACGAGCCTCCTTTAATATTTTTCTTAGACTAAATTATCATATTTTAAAAATTAATCATAAAGAGGGAAATGATTTCTTTACCTAAATCTTAAATATTTTTTATATTTAAAATAGTTTCAATAATTTAAAAACTCAAAAAATAAAATTTTGTAGAAAATAAAAATTAATGTACTATGTTTGAAAATTTTCAAAAGCTTAGGGTGGCGGCTGCCCCCCCTTTCCTACATTGGCTCCGTCCCTGTTTGCAGTCCTATATATGCTATTGATGGATATGGCTGAATGCCATATAGATATTTTGAGATATGATACCACTAACCTAATAATTTTTCAAGTTAAAATCTACAAGCCTTCAAAAACTCAAATTTAAGTTATTAGTAATGATTGTTTTTCACACTTATATATTAGATTCACAACTGAGATTCAAAGTCAAATATTTAATGTCCTTAGCAAGTACAAGGACAATCGAACTAGACCCATCAATGCTTGCCATAAGCACAAAATCTACCTTAAGTGATGTGAGATTCAGATTACCACTGATTATAATAATTAATATAGGTCTATATTTATTAGAGTCGAAATCCACCATTAACTTAACAACTCTTTGAGTTAGTGCCTTAAATCTCATATTAATGGAAACTTGCAAGTGAGTTTAGTATATAAACATGGAGATCAATTACTATTAACAACTTAAGTTTAAGTTTTTTGAAGGCTGTATACCTTACCTTGAAAAGTTGTTAAGTTATTGGTGAGTTTTTACCTAAATCATTTCAGCTGGGTATTGGATCCTGTGCTTCTTCGGATTTCAACTTTTGGAAGGGGATTTTTCTCTTCTGCTTCCCATTCTTGGAAGTTTACAGCACTTGCCCTCTATTTTACAGGGTGTTGACGACTTACGGACCAAGTCATGACATAATAATGAAATCACCATATTGGCCACTTGATTTATAATTTTAACAAAATGTTTACCAAAGTTTGCCAAAATCAACATTTTGGTCATCCAACTTATAAGCCTAACAAATGGGTACCTAACCTTTTAAGTTGCCCATCCAACAATCACTCGCCGTTGAAAAGTTTGGCTAAAGTACGCATCTAACAATTTAGCTTAATAAGTTTGATATTTTTATCCCTTATCTTATATTATAAATTTTTTAGTTCTTGAATTTAAATGTTTAAAAATTTTAACTCTTAAACTAATGGAATCCATTAACTCTCTGTCAAAGTAAAAATACAATATTTACAAAATTAGTTCTCAAAAATTAAAAATGTAACAATTTAGTTTCAAAAGTTTTAAAATTAAAAAAAATTAGTAAATTAAAAATAATTAATAAATGACTTTACTACATATACGAGAATAATATTATATATCTATAATCAAATTAAATGATTAGATCAATCTAAAAGAAGAAATCTGACTGAAATTAAAAAAATTTCTTAGCTGTATTTTTTATTCTTTAGATTTTTTTGTCTTAATTCAATTAATAAATTTTTTTTAATCCTAGTTAGAATTCATTCTTCAAATTAAATTAATCACTAGATTTGATTATATATATCTAATATTATTTTAGTCTATGTGAGAAAATCATTTATTAATTTTCTTTAGTTTACTAATTTTTTTAATTTTAAAAATTTTAAAATTAAATTGTTGCATTTTTAATTTTTGAGAAGTGATCATATAAATATTTTATTTTTATTTTTAACAGAGAGTTAATGGATTCTATGAGTTTATGAGTTAAAAACTTTATAATATTAAAGTAAGGGACCAAAAAAATTCAAACTTAATAAAAGACTAAATACATATCTTTTCTGAAAACCTTGATCTAGGAGACGTTCTTTTCGATTGGAAAACAGAACTACAATTTTCATATATATCATTCCTCACCAGAACCATCAAATTATTGTTCATGCACATGGAGCATGAAATTAGAGTTTAATAACTATTTTTATTAACACATCATTTTAATTAATAACTTATTGTTTTAAGCAGAAAGAGTTTGATTTCCCTTAAATAAGATTTTTAACTTGAGTTTTGTGAATAAAATCGTTGGAAAAGTTTTCTCTTATGGGATCCAATGCAATTCAATTTCAAATTAGTCAAATCTAATGTGATTTCTAAGTATCAGATGGTTAATACCAAAATTAAAACACCATTTTAAGTTAATAAAAGGTTAAATCATAAATCATTTAATTAAATGATGAAATTGGCATTGTGGACTACGAATTCTTCGAAAGATGAGGCTTACCTAGCAATGACAATGACTACAATTCCATACTAAATCAAGGCTTTTAACTTCTTAATCACAAAGTCTATTCATCCAAACTGAGGTCAAATTGTTAAAGGGACTAAATGAAAAGTTAATATCATATAACCTTTTCAATGTGCAGATACCTAATTGTCAGATATCTCCAAAACCATAATACCAGATAAGTCTTTTTTTTCCTTTTTCATCTTCTTTTTTTTTTTTTTTACTTTATCAGCTAAGACCAGATAAGTCTTAAACGATTGAAATACCCTAAACTCCAAAGAAAACTACTTAAAAAGTACTGCAAGGGACACAGAAAACGAAGGTTCAATGATATATCAAAATGTTCAGTGATATATCAAAAATGTTCCTCCTCCAGTGCTTCGTGCTGCATGATAACCTGTGTCATTCAGAACAGTTTGAATTGCCATCTTCAGTTTACTGCAACCTCAGCAGACAGGTAACTGGGATGAAGAGCATCCTGGCCTGATGATACTTTCGTCTTTGATAGCTTGAGCACATCCATAGCTTCCTCCACTTTGGCTGCCAAAGCTTCAGGTGACTCTATCAAAAGAAGCAGTTCGGAGTTGTCCATCTCCAAAAGCATCCCGGTGATCTTTGCAACAAGATCAGGCTGCACATCAGAGAGTATTAAATGTAAGCCAACTCTGAATTGCTGTCAAAATCTGGAGGAATATGCATGTCCAGAACTACTTCAGTGAGATTATTTATGTCTGTCTGCTTGTTCCATTTGATGGGTAATGTGAAGTGTACATTGAATAATAGTTAGCATTTATATTTACAATTAAGCAAAATCAAAGACAAATACCTGCTCTTTCTCAACAAGGGGATAGAGACGCTCTCCAAGTATCTGCTTTTGCTGCTCAGGAGAAGCAGCAGCAAGCATGCTACTGAGCATATCTGATCCTTGTGGTACAGATCCAACAGAATTGGAAGCAGCAGGCAAGACACCAGAGCTCTTATTCATCTCACGTGCTCGACCATTTGATACATATTTAACCTGCACAGCCCGCTGCACACCAAAGCTTAAGAGAGTTAGAGAGCTTATAAAACATTGCTGCCACATGTATAATTGTGAATTTAAAGTATAGTGGGAGAGTAATCTGTATCATCCTTAATAGTGTAATATATTGGAGCTAGGTAGCAATACCAGTTTTACATCTTTATTTACTTATATCTTACCAACCAGCTGATGTAAAAGGTCATGCAAATCAATATATCTAACAACCAATGTTACAAGAAAAGAAAATAATACATCCAACTAATTCATACTTCTAGAATCTCACTTCAGGTTTAAGACTGCAGGAAATTATAACGATAAATAACAAATGTTAATAACACTTGGTAGTATAGAAAACAAACCTGTTGATTGCTCAACTCTTTTGAAGAAGTCATCAAGTGAGCTGGCTGTTGCAAATGCGGTGCATATGAAACAGGGTGAGGTCCACCTTGTGGAAGGACGTTTCCATTCACCCTGCCTCTGTTCTGCCTATGTTGCCTTGGACCATTAAGAACCTGCAACACCAGATTGTACAACTAAGAATACAAAATTGTATTGGCACCAGAATGTTAGTTTGCACTGCCACCATGCCCATCAGCATTTTGTTAGAATGGCATCCAGCTAACACAAGATTTTACCAAAGATACACTGGTTAAAAAAAATAAAATAATAACACATGAACATGTAGTAGAGTTTGAACCCACACATGGTAGAGTAGGGTAAATACTTACAGCAGGAAGTGGTGATGGTTGAAAAGCAGGTGCAGTTGGAGGTGCAAAGCCATTAGCCCTCCATCCTGGCCTCAGTGCTAATGGTTGGTACATAAGACCTGGTCGTGGAGGTACCTGTGAAACAACACCAGAGGGAGTTGTGTAGTAAAGAGGAGGATATCCTCCAGGGATAATAGGAGTAGAGGATCCTGCTAGTCCTGCCATGCGCTGTGCATACTGAAGTTGCAATTGTGCTTGTCTGTCCTCCTTCCTCTGAGCAATAGCCACATATAGTGGCTTGCGATGAAACATGTATCCTGTGGAACAAGCAGGCATGAGGTAGCTGACAGCTTCAAGCAGAAAAGAAAAAAACTAATTTTTCCATTTTGAATGGGAGTGTTTGATAAATGTGAATTTAAAAATAGATTAGCCTGAAAAGCAGAAAGATTTAAACTATTAAAGAATGATGATTATAAGAAATAATCTAGAAAACTTTAGCAACTTCAGAGATTAAGTTTTGGTGATGTTATCTTTAAGACTATACATCGGCATGAAGAAACATAAGCTCCTATCTAAGTTAATCTGTTTTTGGGCCAAAAAAAAAAGAAAAAAAAAAGAAAAAAAACAAAGTTAATCTCGCAAGACACCTTTTCAATTTGGATGAACGTTTGTCCTTTGACTTCAATTCCAGGGAAGTGATTATAAAAAAGTACAGTCACCTATCCACCCCCTTCCCACCAAAATCCTTGAAATATTTTAGCTAATCAAGTAGGGATGCAGTTGCATAAGTTAAATTAGCTAAGAAAGATGCATGTATCAGATTCCTAAAAAAAGGCAATATCTTTTCCTATTTTCACTTCTCCACGGCTTGTGACTTGGGTTGAGAAAATACCAGTATACACTTCAAGAAGCTTACAAGCTGAAAATTTCAGACTACCTTGTATACTTAATTTTCACAAAAGTGGCATTTTTAAGCATGCATGTACAACAAATTTACACTAAAGGGTCTAGAAATTCCATGACACATGCCAAATGTAAATCCAAGCACAATGACCATATACCATGCAAGGCACTGCTAGCTCAACTCATGAACCTGAAACATGTTTGGATGGCTACAAGGAAAAATGGAGCTGGTAATATCAACTAAAATGTGATATGTTGAGTATCATGCTAGGTACAAGTGAATTGAATCAAACTATATCTTTTTAATTGAACGATTGCCATGATACCTAAAACCAATGAGGTTGATCTTTAATTTCCTCTCTTTTAACCCAAGAGTTGATCCTTAATATGCTTTTCCTTTCTCATATACATCAGAAAACTTACAAACTTACCATGAAACATGTGCACAGCTTTGGCAGCCTCCTCAGAGGTGGAGAAACAAACAAATCCAAACCCTTTACTTATTCCTTTGTCATCTCGCATAAGTTTTGCAGAAGTAATTGTACCACTCTGACTGAAGTGCTCTCTAAATTCTTCATCAGTGACATCATCATCAATGTTCTTCACATAGACATTTGAGCCCTGGAATTTAAACTAAGATATAAAGTGATGAATAGAACAAATAATTTTTACTGGATTTGAATGAACAAGAAAAATGAACTAGGACTGCCTTGTATTTCAAAATTTTCTCCCTTCGCTTCTCTTCAAACTGAAGACGCAAAATTTGCTCACGCTCTGCTTTTTTCTGTGCTCTTGCTACATACAGAACCTTTGAGCCTAATCACCACAAATAGAGTAAAAAACAAGATATATAATCAGGCAATGTTTCAAACACTTGATGAAGGCCAAAAATGGATATCAAACTCACCAAGCTGTGATCCATTCATTGCTTCCATTGCACACCTGGCATCATCTGGGCTATCAAAGTTAACAAAGCCATAACCTCGAGAGGTCCCATTATCATCCTTCACTATAACCAGGCTAGCAATTTTCCCAAACTCAGAAAAGCTCTCTTGCAGTTTCTCTTCTGTGATATCTGGATCCAAATTCTTCATGTACAGATTTGTATATTTGGCATCTGGGCTTGGCAAAATCCTATCACTCTTTTTAACAAACTTCCCGACATAACTGGACCACGAAATACAATTATGATTTACAAATGATAAATAGTCAGGGATGAAGTAAGCAGAAAACTAGAATTTGGAGATCTACATATAAACACATTTTTATTTTTTGCTTAAATGAAATTGTAAAACAAAGAGCTTTTTAACTTTTATGGGATTAGAAAACAAAAATACAGAGAGAGCAGTTCTTACATCTGTTTGTCAACAACAGTGGAGCCATTAAGCTCTTCCATAGCAGCATTTGCAGACTCTTCAGTCTCAAATTGGACAAAACCATGCCCCTTACTCTTCCCATCCTCAGATGTGGCAACTTTACAGGACACAACATTACCAAATTTCTGGAACAACTCGTGCAGTTTTGCACTATCAATTGACTCATTCAAGTTCTGGAGGAGATGCCAGAAACCATTTCATATCAGGAATTTACACTAGAGAGAAAACCTGATATTTTTCAATGTTAGAGATCATCTGTAACAAGGAGAGAAAAAATAGACCTTAACAAAGACATTCCCTATTCCACTTTTTCTTGCATCAGGATCTCGAAGTGACCACATGACCCTTATCAATTTTCCATTCAGCAAGGTATGATTCTTCACCTCAATAGCTCTTTGTGCTGCTCAAATCAGAGGAAAAAAATAGTATAAAGTCAAAGACATACTATATCCAAGTTTAACTGAGTTTAAAACAACAAATAATAAAAATGTTCCTAGATATAAGTAAAAACTCTATCAACTCCAAAAAACCTAAGAGCAGTAATATAAGATGGTATACACCAAAATTTTAAGATTATTTTAGGTATGAATTGAGGATATGCAATCAAAATGACTAATCACAAGTTCACAGCTCAAAAAGGACGCTCAACGCAATAAATAATTAAATGACCAGAAAAATGAGCTTGAATAGCAAATCAATCTCTAACTATATTTAGGTTCTCAGTTCCTCCTAATGATATAGAGATGTGATCAAATTCTTTGTCAATTTTCTGAAAATCCAAATAAGAGCTAGACGACAAGCTAGTAAAAGTAACCGACAATCTGCAATATACCAGATTCTTGGGCTTTCTGCTTACAGGATTCTATTAAACAAGGATCTAAAACAAACCAAGCAAGATATAGCACATGAGTTACAGATAATTTATTGATTTCCTAAAAGAGATGGCTTAATAACCAAAAAATTCTATTATCATTGGTGGTAACCAAGCACAGTGCTAAAGAAACTATGATCTTAAGAAAAATCAAAATAAACAAGCTAATTTCTGAATGATCAATGGATTCTCCACAATCGATTTTTCTACAGAGAATTGAATGATGCATCAGCTTACAGCTCAATTTAGTCAGAATTCATAATTTGGGACATTTCTTCAACATTTTATTCTCGTATACTTTCCCAACAAGCAAGCAACCAAACAGTAGGGATCTCCACAAGAACCGAATTCAACAGCAGTCTAAAATTCCAATTTGTTTCCTCCTCCAATATTGTACCGTAAATCAAACACGATCACAATAATCGAAGTCGCAAATCCGTACCGAAATAAACCGGCATTAATTATTTCGAAAGAAAACAGTATCATCCTAGGGATTAATTCTCCGTCTCCGCTCCGGATTCCAACACTTTCAATAACCAAACAGCACAATTAAAAACTAAATCATCTGTAACAGAGAAACCAAAAGAAAACGAAAAAGAAATCTAAAGCGGTATCGCCAGCTGAGAACCAAACAGGAACCGATCAGAGAAAAATATAAACCAAAAAAAAAAAAAAAAAAAAAGATGAATCAAACGACTGACAGAAATCCAGAATTATCAGCAAGAACTTACCGTCTTGAGTAGAGATGAAGTTGACATATCCATAACAGAGGGACTTTCCGGTGGTGGAATCCCGGCAAACACGCACAGAAGCGAGGGACTGGAATTCGGAGAAGGCGTCGATGAGGTGGCCATCGTTGACATCAGGATGCAGGTCCCCAACGTAAAGCGACGCAGGAGACGAAGCCGATACCGCCGATGCAACCGCCATTATTCCGTATCTCAGCACGATTCAGTATTCGAGAATTGGAGATTTTGCATGGAAGCAGGAAGCTGAGCACTATAAGGATTCGTTACGCTCCTCTCCTTCCCACGCTCCTTTTCCGCGAGTCTGGTACACTCCTCTTTGCCTTTTACTGTTTCATCCCTTGTTACCTCCTCTTCCGGTTCCTTAATTTTTCTTTTTTCTTTTTTTTTTTAATTTCTATTTTCCTCTAATTATGATAATTTTCTTTTCTTTTTTTTTTAAGAATAAATGATAATTTTCTTTTCTAATTTATGGGTATTAGTAGAAGGTTACACTTTCATTTTCTAATAAAAATCTTGTATTTTTGCTATTTAAACCATCAATTTCTTGTTTGCATTCTTTTTTCATCTAAAAATATTTTTACAAAAAAAATATTGGTCAAAGGTCTAACTGTATAATTTAGGCTATTGAATGAGACATAGATATGTTAAAGGGTTAATGATTTAATATGATAAAGGTTTAAACTTTTACTTTTAACTATAAATTAAACTTTTAAGTTGGTAAGTATTAATTTGGTTAAAATTAAAAACTAATTCAATTATTCTTGATTTTTAGATCCAAAATCAAAAACTCATATTTTAAAATATTTTATTTATTATTCCTAATTATTAGTATTGTGGAATAAATAAATTATATATATTAGATAATAATTCTTCTTCTTCTTTTTTATTTGAAAATTCACAATTTTTCTTCTAAAAAATCCACAATATTTGGTTTGAAGGATTTGCTAAGCCGGTAACCGGTGAAAATCCAGCCTAAGCCCAAGAATGTGACACGTGCGTGAAAAGGGTAGGCCACAGGGTAAAACGCGAGAGAGAAGGGTTAAATGGGAGTGAGGCTCGCAGCA